TTGACTTCAAGTTCCCCTTATGTTTTGTGCATAGATATGCTACTTTACCTTATCAGAAGGCAGATCTTGTCGTATTCTTGTTCACATAACCCGAGTCAACAGAGAGATTTTGTTGCGTTTCTCTTTTATAGGCATCTGTAGAGACCCTATTAAACCAACTCTTTTTGGTTCAACTCTAATAGTGGAAGATGCTTTATTTATCACATAAACACCTAATAATCATGCCATATCTCTTCAAGTAAGATCGATTTGCATTATAGACGATGATTTTATGTTTTTATATGGTCCGGATCATATTTTCAGTTACCTCCAGATGTAGTGAAGCATTATAATCTATGTTTTGCTATAGTTTGTCCATTCGTTAGATCCTATGGTGATTTTGTATGTTGTGTATCTCTCCATCTCATATTCTCATGTAACTTATTGAAACAGGATGAACAATTCAAGAAGCAGTGCCGGATCATTCTCGTGGGCCTTTATCAGCAACGATAGCTAATTGATATATTTCCAGATTAAAATATAAGCAAATGGATCGACGTGATACTTCTGGTTTTGTCAGTGGGGGGTGCAAGTGTAATTCACTCAACAAAGTTGACAGCTAACCCTAGTATTGTAGTTGAGATATACATATAGCTGATAGCCCTAGATCTATAGCTTAGAATTACCATACTCTAGTTTTTTAGCCCAAAAGTTACTTCACCCGTTCTTTTACCAATAAGGTTTGACCAAAGTCAAATCAGAGAAACTTGCATACAGCTTCAATGGATCCCAGGTTCCGTAATACAGCAAACTATTTGTCTGGACCTGGTTATGTTACAGACACCACATTACGTTTGGATTCCCCTGGTTTCGGGAATCCTTCATTCCAGTCTTCAAAAGGAGTCAAACGGAAATGGAATTCGGTCAACGGGTCAATGGATTTACAAACCGGATTGCCATTATCCCTTTGGCTTGGCCATTCTCCAAGCTCATCTGACAGCAAGGCGAGTTCCGCCACTGGATGCACCACCATGTCTTCTCAGAAAGAAACCGATGAAGAGTCATCAATGGATCTTGAACTGGATTTCAGTCTTCATCTTGGTGGTGAAAAGCCACCTGTCACTAAAAAACCCTCCGCCTTCACTAAACCATCAATGGAGGTTGACCTGGAATTAAGCCTCTTCTCTGCACCAGCTGAGTCTGATGTCACAACTGTTCACATTTTTAACCATAACGCCACATCAGAAATTACAACCATGCCATCAAGTTCTGTCACATGTTCATCCGGCAACACAGAGCCACATCAGCATCGAACCGGGACCACAAAAATGTGTCAATTCGAAGGATGCGAGAAGGGCGCACGAGGTGCTTCCGGCCTATGCATCGCCCATGGCGGCGGCCGGAGATGTCAAAAACCCGGCTGCCACAAAGGAGCCGAGGGCCGCACCGCCTACTGCAAAGCCCACGGCGGTGGCCGGAGATGCGAGTTCTTAGGCTGCACCAAAAGCTCAGAAGGCCGCACTGATTACTGCATCGCCCACGGTGGTGGCCGGAGGTGCAGCACCGACGGCTGCACACGCGCCGCCAGAGGTAAATCCGGGTTATGCATCCGACATGGTGGCGGTAAGCGGTGCCAGATGGACAACTGCACGAAATCCGCGGAAGGCCTGTCCGGTCTCTGCATCTCGCATGGCGGTGGCCGGAGGTGTCAGTTTCCGGCATGCACGAAGGGCGCTCAGGGAAGCACGATGTTCTGTAAAGCCCACGGAGGCGGCAAACGGTGCACTTTCGAAGGGTGCACGAAGGGCGCGGAGGGGAGTACGCCGTTTTGTAAAGGACACGGCGGTGGAAAGCGGTGCGCGTTTGACGGCGGCGGTGTTTGTCCAAAGAGTGTTCACGGCGGAACCCTATTTTGTGTCGCGCATGGCGGCGGGAAGCGGTGTGCGGTTCCAGGGTGTACGAGAAGTGCGAGGGGGCGGACAGATTGTTGTGTCCGCCATGGTGGTGGTAAGAGGTGTCAGTTTGGAGGGTGTGGGAAGAGTGCACAAGGGAGTACGGATTTTTGCAAGGCGCATGGTGGTGGGAAGAGGTGTGTGTGGGGTCAACCGGGGTCAGAATATGGAAATAATAATGAAGATGATGTTTGTAATTCGTTTGCGAGAGGGAAGACCGGATTATGTACGGCTCATGGGGCTCTGGTTCAGGATAAACGGGTCCATGGTGGAGCCACCTTGGGGACCCTGGTTCATGAAATGGTGCCTAACCAAAATATGAAGCAAGTGTTGTTTCCTACACCGGTTGCGACTGATGTGATGTCACATGGGTTTAAACCGTTTGGGGTCCAGCCTGGGGTTGTGGTGGCTGGACAGAGTGTGGAAGGGAGGGTTCATGGTGGAAGATTGATTGCTTTGTTGGCGGCGGGCACTTCGGGCAGCTCGGGTAACGCAATGGCTCAGAAATGGGTGTAAGCCAAAAAGAAAAGAAAAGAAAATGGGCAGGTGGTCATGTGGTGTGTGTGTGTGTTTTTTTTTTTTTTATGAATAAAAGTGAAAATTAGCCCCAAGTAGTTAGTTTTCTTTCTAAGTGTGGGTGGGTTGTTTTGTATTTTCCTTGTAGATATATGATATGTGTCGATTGGACCATGTTCTTTGTGAATATGTCATCTTGGTAATTACTGGTGAATCAAGTATTGAAATAACATATCCTACCTAATAAGCTTTTTGTAATTTTTTCTAGTTTCTTTTAGTCCCCCAAATTTCACTTGTTGTCATTTTTTTCCTTGATTTTTTGATGATGAAAGATCAGGGGAAAGTTATTGGTCATCAGATGAATTTGATCCAGAGGTGTTGATGGAGCTCTTTTTTTGATCTCTTATAATTTGTTTTTTTTTTTCTTGTTTTATTATTATTTATAACTTTATACGTAATTGGATGTTAACGAAAACTACAAAAAAAAGTCTTGGTGAATATAATTATAAAAGCAATTTATAGTCTTGGTGAATATAATTATAAAAGCAATGTGTGTCCTTTAGATGTGCCTAAAAAGGATCCAATATTATAAACAGAAGGGTCCAAATGAATTTTATAATGGTCTAGTAGGCTTTTCCAAAGAGAAGGGACAATAGTGTTTGATAACTAATATAACTTTTTTGTTGTGACCTTGACTCCTTGTTCACCAAAACTTGAAGATTTCCTTTTTACATAAAATAATGGTGTGTGTATCCCATTAATACGAGGAGATTGAAAATACAGTTTTTTTATCGTTTAAAGTACAATTTTATTGAATATGAATAGATGCATATAGAGTTCTTATGTACATAGCTTTATTACATAAAGTTAGATTAAATATGTAATGTAAAAATAGAATAAGTAAAGTACGTATGTGATAACCGTTCAAAAGATAAGCGTTTTCAATGATTTTCTTTAGTTAGACAATTAGTTTTGTTATAACAAAAGGGGAATCATGAGATCAATTTTAAAAGTGTAATTATTTGTTAATTATAACCTCAATTTTTTTTTCTTAAAAACATTTTGGTTGAACTTAAGATGGTTATGAAATAGGAATTATGTGTTTGTTATAATTTTTGTTGTTAACCATTGATATTGCTATATTTTTCTTATGCTGTAATCGGTAATTTTTTTTCTCATTTAAATAATTTGAAGTTGTTGGGAATCAAAAGAGACAATTAGCATTCATGTGATTTGTTTGTCCAAACTTCTATATATAAACATTAACGAAACTTACCATTAGGAACATGGCTCTTAACAAAAATGAACAAGTAGTTTTAATGTTATTTTTGATGTGAATTTAATTTTTTTTTTCTTTTCTTCGTATGCTTCTAACAATATATTTTATGAAAACATAATCGAACGGTAAATGGAATGGTGCCATTGGCAACCATTCTATCTAGGATCTATATCATTTTGTCATGTTCTTGACATACACATACTTAAGGAATATATATATATATATATATATATATATATATATATATATATATATATATATATATATATATATATATATATATATATATTTTTTTCTTTCATCATATTCATTTGAAACTCTCATGACTTTTTGATTTCTTTATAGTAATATTATAAATAAGTTAAATAATGTTCTATAAAGAAGAAATAACGTTTTATTACAATGTCTTCATTCCACATCGGTGTTGAGAGCAAAGAAAAGAACGTTTCCTCTTTCATAAATAGAAAATGTTGTGAAATGTTTCAAAGAGACCAAACCATAAGAACTTCTTTATACCTACCTTTGTAGGATTTTAAGGGTATTATTTGGTGAGATTGTTTGTATTGTCAAGTATCCAGTTAAGTTTTAGAATTCCAAAAAAAGTTTTGAACCAAATTTTTTCAGGTTCAAACCGTGTTTCAATAGAAAAAAACTGATGTAGTTGGGTATATTGAGTTGAATTGGAGTTGGATTAATTTGAACCGATAAAAGAATCATTTTCCTTTCTCCACATACATTTGAAACTCCCATGATTTTCTAAATTATTTCTAATAATATTATAAATAAGTTACATAAATATAAAAAAACATCTACCTAAACCTAAAAATATAGTTGTTTGAAAATTCACTTTGATTCAAAAGCACAAAGTTTATACAAACCAGTTTCACTAGAAAAAAGTTATGTAGTTTGGTATATTGATTTGAATCGGTCTGAGTTTGATCAATTTGGACTGATAAATGAAGCATTTTCCTTTCACTGCATACATTTGAAACTCTCATGATTTTTCACATTTTTTTACAATGATATTATAAATAAGTTACATAATAATATATAAATATAAAAGAACATCTACCTAAACATAAAATTATAATTGTATGAAAAATCGCTTTGATCCAAAAGCATGAAATATATACTCGATTATATTTTATAAATGAATTCATTTTATAATGAACTTTTGAATCATGAAATTACATATAAACAAACTTTATATATTAAGTACCTAACTGAATTTATGATTTCATAATTTAACAAAAAGTTATTATTCAACTAGACGAATGGATAATATGCTCCCAACAGAAGACGAATGGATGCAAGTCCGCCGGAGGAAACATCAACAACGGAGAGTGCCAATGTCAGACGAGACAACCTTCTTCGTCACCAATATACCAAATGGAGCTACAAAGACAGAATTTAAGAAGATATTCTCATCTTTTGGGAGGCTCTCTGATGTATTCTTCGTTGATAAAAAAGGAAAAGATAGAAAGAACTTCGGGTTCATTCGATACTTAGGTGTTGAAAGCGTGAAAGAGATGGAGCCCAAGCTAAACGGTGTGAAATGCATAAAAAACATTTTGGAGATAAACTTGGAAAAACATGGTAGAAAAGTTCCCTTACGGGGACACTTTCAATCCAACCGGGCATGGAAGAACCGAACTAATTCTGTTCAGACTATTCTGGGCATTTCGAAGGCTCGTGTAATGGAAACTTGAAGGGTTGGCTCATTCTCCTACGCTGATGTTACACGGGGTGGCAAACAACATCAGACAACCTTTCCCCATCCGCCACCGCCACCTCCACCTCCAACACACATCCTTCTGACAACTCTTCAGGTTGATAAAGATATGGACGAATGGATTCATAAAAGTACTCTCATTGGTGAAGCACTATCATTGTCACATCTGGGATATGCTTTAATGTCAATTCACAGCGACATTGGTGTTGAGGTAAAATATGTTGGTGGCATGCAAGCCATACTCTGTTTCAAAAGCATGGTGGATGCCAATAAAATAAGAATAATTGACAGAATTCCTTCAAATGGTTGAAAAAAGAGAAGGATTCCAATTCGATCTATCAAAGGCTTACATGTATCAGAATTATAAAAGACAGTCGTTAATATCATATGTTCTACATAATTATAGTAATATTTATGATACAAAAAAAAAATTACAATTTAAGATAAAAAGATGTCTCTATTATCATATGTTGTACATAATGATAATATTTAAGATAGATAAAAAGATGTTTCTATTATCGTATGTTCTAAATAATGATAATATTTAACATAAACATTTTAATTTAATATGAAATTATTATTTAATAGATAACAATAATGATTTATTTATTTTTAAAAATTTATAATTTTTTTTTTCTATTTTAACCGTATAACTTTGTAGATGCATAATAACTTCAAGTTCCAATCTTATCTCTTATGATATAGTTCAACATAATGATAATATTAAAAATCATTGTTTATATTTGTTATGAAATTATTATTTAATTGTGATAACAATGATTTAGTTATTTTTAATATAAAATATATTTTTCATATCTTGCGCAACGCGCAGATATTCGCCTACTATACTTATAAAGGAATTTTTTTTTTCTTTCACCACATTCATTTGAAACTCCCACGAGTTTTCGGTTTTTTCTAGTAATGATTATAAGTTATGTTTAAATTAAAGTTTAATCATATATAAACTAAATTTCTAGCCTAAAATGTAATCATATATAAACTAAATTTCAATATTAAAATAATATATTTACTTATACTTATAATGTTATGTCTTTAACTTTTAACATATTATACTTCATTTATTAGTTTTAATATGTTATTGTATGTAACCATTATCATTTTAAAGCTACAACTTTTGAACAGTTTGGATAAAATATTTATATTGTTAATTTTAAATATAACATTAGAGGGTCAACTTAAATACAAATTTCAATTTAACTTAAAAAACCTAAAGAATATTTTGTAAATTGTGAAAAGTGATATGTAACATCCCAAGCCCAGGTATACCTTGTAAACCTTGATCTTATGAGCATTGGTCCATTTTGGCCTTATTAGAGAAAAGGTGGTAAATGAGTATGTGAGGTGTACTATGTGTGCATATGACACGGAGGCCACCTAGTACACTGGGCGTATTAGGCCTAGATTGTTAACACTAATTGTTGGTGAGTCCCCTATATAAAGGATATGATGGCCTCATTCCTGGCCACCATTCCCAGGCACCAAACCCTCCTAACCCTAATTCTTCGTTCTTATAGCTTGTGAGTGCATTTGAGAGCTTGTGAGTGTATTCTTGTGTTCTTGAAGTGGAGAAGGATTCTTGAAGAAAAAGGAGTGGGATTCCAAACTTTGGATCTGAGCTTATCTGAGGGTGGAGCTTCATTTTGTGGTATAAAGCTCAAAGCTTTCTCACTCTTTTGATTTGTGCATCTACATAGTGTATTTTAGGGTTTTGTCCCCAAAGATGGAGACTTTATGAGATAATGAGCTCTAGAGACAATGACCAACCTCTTTTACTGTATTTTGTGGAGTAATGTCATAAAAATCCAATCTTGGACGTTAGAAACAAGCCATGCATGAGATATGAGCTTTATGAGAAAAGAGGATGAGTGTTTTGGGTATTTTTGACCAAATCAGCCTTGTAAAGGCTTAAAGTCACTGACCTTATGGATTAAGAGACATTAGAGAGTCTAGATCTGTGATATGAGCCAATGTCTTAACTGATTAAGACCATATATGTGAGGAGGGTGAAACTAGGACTTACGCTGGGCGTAATCCCAGTACGCGTAATGTAGGGGTCGAGCATCCCTGATGCCTGCATGGCAGCTGAGTATGCCCAACGTAGAGTGTTGGTATACACAACGTACTCCCTGCCGTTAACTTTCGGTTGACTTTTAGAGTTTGGTCAATGTGTGGTCTATTAAGCCCATGGAGGGGGTAAAATGGTCTTTTAACCTTATGTGAGTGTATGGAAGGATTGGTCTAGCTTCATGAGAACCATTATTAATTAGGGATAATTATTGTGTGTATTAGGCAGAGGCTATTTTGAGATTTTCGGGCACGAGACTTTTACTTACTAGATTACGAGGTGAGTCTTCCCACTATACTTACCATGAGTGATGTCTTGGTGTGACGGAGATGTCTTATGTGTATTGTGCTATTTTCATTTTGTCCTTGTGGTTTATGCTTATTGTTATGAACTTATTGAGTGAGGGCCGGAGGGTCATCCCGAGTGTGGGACCGGAGTGTCTCCAATGGAACACAATGACCAGAGGGTCGTATTGAGTTAGCCTCGAGTGGCTAATGTGATATGTGTGGTATTTTGGGAAACTAAATAAGCTTTGTGTTTACCGTGTGATGTGTTTCAGGTACTTCTTCAGATCACGGGAAGGCGCCGACCTGATTGTGCACACGTCAGCAATCGAGTTATGATATAGAGGATCCTGGAGTTTAAAATACGAATAGTTTTAGATATAAAATTGATGATTTGACATTTGATATTTTGTGTTTATTTATTGATACAAATGTGTTCTAAATGAAAAAAAAAAATTGGTTGAAATTTCACGTTGTTACAAGTTGGTATCAGAGCCTTAGTTTGAGGGATTTGGATGCACCTCCGGGTGTGTTTGGACTCAAACTGTGGATTTGAGAAGAATTTTTCAAAAAAGAAATGATTTTTCTAAAACGAGAAAGAGTTTTAAGAGAAAACAAGCTGGAGCGGTGTGTACAATCAGCCAGAGCTCGAACGGTGACTTCCTAAAATACCTTACTTTTGTGTTATGCAATACTTATGAGATATTTTACTAGAATTGCATGCTAGAGGGTAGTCTAGGTATTTCATATTCCAGGGCTAGAGTTTCCTGATTTGTGATGCCTTAGCCTATGGAATGCTTTTGATAAGTGTTATTTGTTATTTGCTTGAGTATGTGCTGAGTTCTGAGTCAGGAGATAATCTAGGAAGAGATACTTAGATGAGTTTAATAAGGGTCTAATGAGATAGTAGTCTATGATTCGTGTGATAGAGTATTTATGAATTAGAATCCTAGGAGGAGGACTTGGGGTGACTACGGATGAGGTGTGGAAGGTAGTATTGGGCCTGTACTACTGAAAACACCGGATCTGTAAGCAGTCAAAGTAAGAATCCTTAGGATGCTAAGGAACAAGTAGGGGTGAGTGATGGAGCGTAAGTATACTTGAGCGAGTCTCTGATTTTTTGTGTTGTGTTTCAGGGGCATCATGGTGGGTATGTGCCAAAACCTCGAGAGTAGTGGAGTGAGAGATGATGAGATTTGCAGGATGATTCATGACGAGGTGGCCACAGCCATCCGATAGGCTATTCCGGAGATGTTTGGGTCTATTAAGACCACCTTGATCGAGATGTTTGATGAGCGATATGCTGTTATTACCGAGGCGGCTGCTGCTACAGCCACCGCAGCTGTCGCTGCTGCCAGGCCACAGGGAGGTGACTCGTTGCTGTATCGGGAGTTCAGCAACATGAAGCCACGAGATTTTGATGGGAAACATGATCTAATTATTGTGATGAGATGTATTTCTGATATTGAGCGGTGTTTCTACACTTGTTCATGTACGGATCACTTGAGGGTACGGTTCGCGTTGAACCAGCTTCGCTTGGGAGTGAAGGACTGGTGGAAGTTTGTGACGACCAGTTTTACTCTTGTAGAGCACGTTGCAGTGACTTAGGAGAGGTTCACTGTGATGTTCCAAGATAAGTACGTTCCCCCGGTGGAGAGGGAATGGTTAGCCCAGGAGTTTCTGTCTCTCAAGCAGAAGACAGAGTCGGTGACTAAGATTACATGGATGTTTCATGAGAGGACACTGTTTTGCCCGGAGCATGTGTTAATAGAGTAGGCGCAGATGAGCCAGTATTTGAGCATTCTGAGGAGGGATATTTGCGAGTTCGTGGCGAACTCGTCTTACCAGACATTTTCTGAGCTTCAGGAAAATTCCAGGAGTGGGGAGATTGAGTTGGAGACTCAGGATAGGGAGGATAAGAGGTCTCATGGGAGAGATCTGAGGTCGGCACACTCCCAGCCGGTAGCTAAGTGGGCTAAGCCCACTGATTCGAGGACTGGGGATCAAAAGGGCCGCACTTGTGCAAAGTGCGGCAATAGTCACGAGAGGTCGTGTCGAGCAGGGATTTGCTACAAGTGTGTCAAGGAGGGGCATATGGAGAAGGATTTACCTAAGGGGTTTGCAGTTTGCTTTCACTGCAACCAGACCAGCCACCGAAAGGCCGAGTGCCCCCAGATTTTTCAGGGATCAACGCAGGGATCTACACTTGCTGCTTTGTGTGCTGCTGATAATTGGCCAGTGAAGGTCGGGGTTCCAAGGGCTAGTGGTAGATCTTTTCAGCTGACAACGGAGGAGGTCCGCGTTGCACCTGATGTCGTGGCTGGTACGCATGCTTTCCTTTTATATAATTATTTTGAAATTTATTGTGCTTGTTCTATGTTCTATTTTAGGTACATTTTTTGTGAGTTTTGTCCCTGCTTTAGTGTTATTCGACCCAGGTGCTAGTCGATCCTTCGTGTCCTTAGCTTTTAGTCGTCACATCAGTATCCAGCATGAGGCATTGAGTGGACCTTTGAGGGTTTCTATAGCTAATTAGCATGTAGTTTTTGTGCTGACGTGTACCGAGGGTGTTTGTTAGATATTTTTGGTGTCAAGTTTCCGATTGATCTGGTATCGATTGCTATGGGGGATGTATGTGTCATCATGGGCATGGATTGGTTGAGTCGTTTTGGAACCGTGATTGACTACGAGCGTCAGTTGGTGACTATACGAGACCCTAGTGGGGGAGTGCTGACAGTGTATGGTGAGGGTATCAGATATAGGTCAGCTTTCTGCTCTGCTGCCAGGGCGAGGGCAGAGTCTACAGCAGGGTTGTATGGGAGCATATGTTTCGGAAACGCGGGTTGCTACTGAGAGACTGAGTTCTTCTGTTGAGGTTCTGATAGTGGGAGAGTTTCCGGATGTTTTCCCCGATGAGTTATCGGCCGTGCCTCCTGAGAG